CTTAAACTTTAGGTTTTAGTACGTTGATGAATAACTGTTTTAGTATTACTATATATATAAACTTGGTCCACTCATGTTTTGTTTTGCGCCCCCTCAGGACTTAGAATCGAGGCGTACAATCCCGGCATCAAGGCACTCCCACATCGGCATCTTCGAGTCCTCTCGGTGTAGGACCCACTCCTTGTCCGTACATCTTTATATTATTCCTTTTACAATGTTCTGGATTAATTGTATGCTCTGAACATGTTTCCTAATTGCATATTCATTATAGTTAAATTTACAAGTTTTATTTATGTTTGTTCTTTCTTCATAGTTCTCATGCATGTTAGTATGACTTTGTCACCTTCGAGTGTCGACCAGCACGTGCCTACCCTGGTACTTGAAGGATATCGAGGTCAGGTGTGTCACCTTTATAGTTCGATTCCATCAAAATTATTTTTAAAAACTCATGCGTGCCCATATTCAATTCTCTTCCCTCAAGATAGTTTGTCATCTATTATCCATCTCTTAAGATAAATATATAGTTGTATCAAAATAAATTATTTATTAAGAACAAGTAATTGGTTAAATACATTTGAAAAAGAAATGAGATTTAAAAAATGAAGGCCAAAAACAGTTTACCTCCCCATCTTTTGGTTGGGTCTGGAGTCACTTTATACCTACTCTGAGAAAAAATGAAGAAGAAAGAAAAATACATGCCGGGACATTTACCAAGACTTTCACAGTGACCATCCTTAACTATGAATAAAATTGCTTTATCTTGATCACTTTTCTGTTTTAAATTTTGTTCGGAAGTACGAAGTATCTTTATGGCTTTTTAATATAAATTTTGTGAAATTGCTTTCTTGAAGAGAAACAAAGATTAGGTCGAATCTGAGTGACCGAGTCAACTAGTGGTGACAAAGACCTCAAAAGAAAGAAAGGAAAAAACATTATTATTAACGCCTCATAATTATAAGATACGTATTCAACGGTGCGCTGTATTCAGACCAATCGACTATGCAATCATATTCACACGTACGTGAGATTTTTCTATCTCAATCCTATCTATTAAAACTAGCACAATCTAATTGTCTCTAGTGTCGTATGCAAACTGTCGAATATAAGTAAGATAATCTCCCAAAAATAGACCCGCCTTAAGACTTGTGTTCAAGAAATTGGACTATCATTTTTTCTTCTTCTTTAGTTTGCGGTATCATTGAGATTCACCGTATATGCTCAAGCAGCGCAACTGTTCTAGTTCTAAATATACATATGCACACAACACGTGAAGACTTACCAAACCTTCTCTTTTTCTTGTATGTAATGTAAAGTGCTCTGTGCAAGTTGGCGGGTAGTCACTCAAACCCTATCCACGATACATTCAATTTGGATTCCTACCGTTCGAGAAAATTGAAACTTCAAATCTCCTCTAAGAGAAAAATATGTATTTAAACTTTGAAAGAGTTTTCAAGTTTTAGTTCCTAAATGTAGAAAGAAAAATGTCACTAAACAAAATCTAGCTTGTGAGTCCACTTACAAGCTTATACCTTTGGATTAATACATTGAGCACACAAAGTGACAAAACAAAACTGTCCAAGAATACAAATGAGTACTGTTTTATATGAAGTTATAATAGGGGGACACACATTTTTTTGACACACATTTTGTTGCGTTCACTTCGTAATGTATTTTAACGATCCGAAATGTCTATATTTCAGTACACAACACTTTGTAGCACCCACTTCATAATGGGTGTCAAAAAACGTGTGCCTCCGATCTTAACTCATAAATAGATAAATGTAAATTACATAATAAGTCTAAAGTCTTTGTTTTCTTTAAAAAAAAAAAAACAGATTAAATATCTAAAGTCTAACATATGTAAATTATATGTCTTTTTTTTGTGTGTGAACAATGTAAATTATACATCCATATAGTCAAATATAACATCAAAAGTTAATTATTTAGATGTCACCAGTATTGTGTCTAGTGACATTTTTCATCACTTACAATAAAGAAACATAAGCAAGTGTTGTAACCAGTTCAATACTATACTATTTTAATGGCCCATTATGGTAATTAGCCCAAAATTTCTGCTTTTAGTATAAAAGAAAGTTGTAGAAAAAGAAAAAAGAGATTACATATAGATAGGAGAGAAGTGAGGATTCTGGGGAAGAAGGTCCTAACCTAATGATAGGGGGCATTTTAGTTTGCTAATGTCGACCAAAGTAATATTCACAAAGAAGAACAAAGTTGCAATTGGAGGTAGGGTCCTAAATATATAGCTTTGCATAAATAAGAGAATAATATATTTTTTATTTTTGGTTTAATAATGAGAGAATAAGTCTGAAAGTGAGCAGAGAAAAAAAATATTAGGTTTTAAAAAAAAGTAGAAAATGACAAATGATGGACCAGAAAAGGAAAATATAAAAAACAGAGACTGGTCACTTGGCTTTTGTTTCTTAGTACCAAACGGTGTCAGCGCTCTTGTCTTGTGTGGATTTCACATGGAAAGTGTGAAGAACTCGAAAGCAGGTGGCAAACATAACACAAACAAAAGCTAAAGCCACTTCAACCGAAAATGCTAAATATAGTCCCGTTTAGAATTATAATCCTACAATAAAAATATTTTTTAATGAAACAGCGTCAGACCATGCTCAAGTATCATCTTCAACCGAATGGACCAAACATAACCATCTCAATAATCTATTAGTTTGGTTTATACTTTAAATTTATTAGTTAATTTAGTTAAACTAATGTCGAATTTTTCAAATATAGCCGTTGAATTTGAATTAATAATTGCAATTGAGGAGTTGGGTCCGAAATAAGAGGCTAAGATGGGCTTACATTTGGCTTGCCTTTTTGGTCAAATAATAGCATGGTAGGCTCTACAGAATTGTACCCTAACCATCGGTTGAAGATATTTTTTTGATAAATTAGATTATTTTTTAGCTTTTAAACCTTTAGTTCTTTCCATTAAAAATGATGCAACACAACTTGGACCACTAGCTGGGAATATGACCAAGGGAGATGGCTCTGTTGCCATGGAAGCATTTCAAAAGGTTCACGCTTGTATTCATCACATTCCATTTGTAGGTAAACAGAAAACTCAGAGGGTAAAACCCTAGATGATAGTAATTCCATGACTTGAGGGATTGGACTACTACTCTAATCATTATTCCTTATCTTTATTCCAACTCATTGATATTATCCTTTGATGTTGGTGGAACGAAGATTATATTCATTTATTTTCTAATTCAATCTTTGATTCGAATGCTGACGCAGTTAGCATAACTCCCCTTTCGGTTGGTCAATTAATTGTGTAAAATGTTTGTCATTATCGTTTAATCGACACAAGTTTTTTATTTAGATTTTAAATTTAAATGTTGAAATTTGGGTCCAATTCGAGAGTTAGAATTTCTATGTAAGCTCTTAAGTTTATTCTATTCCTTAAAAACAAGAGTAACTCAGCTAAGGGTCGGCAAACAAACCGATTCATGTTATAAAATCGAACCAAACCGAAAAAATTAGTTTCGTATGCAATTTCTCTCTCCTCCTAGCTAAATTTAGTTAGTTACTGTTTAAGAAGTTATGATAGCCAGGTATTTAGCCAGTTTATTAAATCATCTTCAAATGAAATGTCAAATTTTTAAACATAAAATATAAATTTGATAGCCCATGTGACACTTTGTCACTTTAACAACTTTTAAAGTTTTGCGCTCTATCCGATATGTCAAATAGTTGTTTTTAGACATCTCACAAATTATTAACTACACCCCATATACTGAAATCACCCAACATTTACCTTTTAAATAAGAAAATATCTTAATACACCCGTTTTAACTTTCCAAAAAACCCTCGCACCCCTCGCTTCCAAAATAAGGCACTCTTCATTGCTTAAAAAAAAATAAAAAATCTGGTTCATAGATAACTATTATTTTTTATTAGAAAATATTTTGATAGCAATTTTGACAGCAAGAATGAGGGCTGATAATTCATGTTTTGTCTCATCATATTTGAATTTTTGATTAGAAAATATTACGGCTGTTTTTCTTACCATTAGTACTAATTGAGACATTTTGACATTGATTTGGACGGAGATGCCTGAGTTTTTTTTTTATTGCATTTTTTTTATTTATTAAAGTAACAAAACAAATCTCATTTGGCTTGCGTTAAAGATGCTCTAACGCAGGCAAGTGGGCATCATCCCCAACCCCACTCCTTCAAATCTTGACTTTAAAAATTATCCACTTGCAAAGTGGCTAATAAAACAAAGCCAGCAGAATCCATACCTACTAAACCCATAAAGCTTACCCAATGAATGGCATCCCCACTTGACAACCCAACAAACCAACCCACATAGTGGTCTGTCACCACACAATTCATCACCACCGTGCCATCTAGACAAAATTTTGTGGGAAAATATTTCCTATTATTTTACTGGTAAAAAAAAAGAAAAAAAAGCAGATAAACTGTACAAAGGCATAAAGCACTTTTTTTATACGGGACAACAAATGGGGCCGAAGGAAGCTCGTTTTCAGTTGGGCTAAAATTCTCCACCCGAATTTGAATGTCGTTTTTATAGTACACAAAGTAATTGATGTGTCCTAATTATATTGAAAGTGTACTGTCTAATAATGATATGATAAGACATTTAAGTTTATATTCACATAAAACGTTACGTGATAGAGTACACATATTTTATAAATCTACATATAATTTAAATAAATTAATTGTAATAATCTTATTATTTGTAAATTAGTATAAATGGACCCAATGGAAAAAGTGAAGGCTTTGGGGATAAATTTTGGAATTAAAAAATTAAATTGTCGGTGGGGAAGAGTGGACTCTCCTCCTCCTCTCATAGGGTTTTTGATAACCCGCCAAGCTAGCTAAGGCTCTCGTCTTTTCACACCGAAAGCCTCTCTCTCTCTCTCTCTCTCTCTCTCTCTTCAGGAAATAAAGAAAAGCATTTCTCTTTCTCTCTCTCTCTCTGTGGAAGCGTCCGTCTTGTATTGCCTTCTTCCTCATTTGTTTGTAGAGAAAAAGAAGGAAACGGTGTGAGGGATTGTGAGATTGAAAGGAAACAAAACTTTATCCGAAAATGAGCATCGGCGGCGGCGACTCGGTGGAGGCGGAGTACATAAGGAGGCACCACAGGCACGAGCCCAGAGAGAACCAGTGCACTTCGGCTCTGGTCAGGCACATCAAAGCCCCTGTGCATCTCGTAAGCCTCTCTCTCTCTCTCTCTCTTTCCCTCTCTCCTTATCTCTCTGTGAACCGTCTGACCGAGCTCTGAATTGTGGTTCTTTTGATTTGGGTGGTGTTGATTTGTTTGACTCTTTGTTAAAGATTGGATTTTTTTTAGTGGGTTTGACTCTTTTTGGGTTTTGGAGATCTGGGAAATTGGGAACGATGGGAAGGTTTTCTGGGTTCTTTCTTATGTTATTTCTTCTGGGGTTTTTATTACTTTGTTCAATTGGGTCGGATATGTGTTGAGAAATTGTTATTAGCTTTTTGGTCTTTGTAATAATCGAGTTTGTTTGTTATTTTCACCTACTTTATGGTTGCTAAAAGTAATTTTGGTGTTGAGGATGGTGATTTGTGCAGTAATCAGGTTTATATATGATGATTTAGTAAAATTGAATTTTGTATGGTTGGGCTTAATTTCAGTTTGTTGTACTTATTTTATTAGGTATAATCCATTTGGTTGTTGAAAAATTGTAAGATAATGTAAAAGAACTATGAAAATTTGAAGGGTGTTTCTTTTTCTTTTGCCATTTTTTTCTTTAATTTAGCTTGCACGCAAAGAAAATGCTTCCTGTTTTTTTGCACTTTCTCGGTGGCCAAACAAATTGTTAGTTTTTTAATGGCAAATATCTAGTGGAAGTTTGACGCTTTCCTTTTGGGTTCACTGTTGTTTTGTTTTTGATAAGATGTTGATTTAATAGTGTGATCAAGTTGGTGTATTTTATCAGGTCTGGTCATTGGTGAGGAGATTTGATCAACCCCAGAAGTACAAGCCGTTTGTTAGTCGGTGCACCATGAAGGGGGACCTTGGCATTGGGAGCCTTAGAGAAGTGAATGTTAAATCTGGTCTTCCCGCAACGACAAGCACTGAGAGGCTGGAGCTTCTTGATGATGATGAGCACATTCTTGGCATCAGGATTGTTGGCGGTGATCATAGGCTAAGGGTAAGAAGCTTTCTTTTTCTTTTTGCCTACTGGCGTGTTCTTGCTTTTCTCCAGCTGATTGTCAAACAGGAAGTACCCTTGTGTCTGGTGCTTTGTAGCCCTTGTGTTTTAATGCCACGCGTATGCGGCACATTCCACAATTCCCCACTTTACAAATAACTGGTGCCATCACCATGGATGGCTATGTTAGTTTCAGGTTAACCCAAGTAAAACTTCCGGTACACATGGCAGTAAAAGTTAAAAAAAAATAAAAAAAAAATAAAAAAAACTACTGTATTGATTTCTAGTTTGGGACTGTTCCATCTGCGTGCCTGAGGGTTTCTTATATGTTAATTTGTGACTGCTCTTTAATCACCGGCATATATTTTAGGGTTCCCTGTCTGTGAATACATCACGAGTGACCGTTTAGCTTGGATTTCAATGCTTTTGACAATGTTTTTTCTTTTTAATATCTTAATTTTCCAAATCGTGTTGCAAATAATTGATTTGTTTTGCTTTCTATTTATAGATAGAGTGGATAGAGTTTGTGTTTGACTGCTAGCAATAGCTGCTTGTTTGTGATAGCCATAGGCACTCGGTCGTGGATTGGGCCATGTGTATGTCTAGGTCCCATCAAATTATCTCACATGCTACATATGCATGGTATGAGGAATGCATGTAACATGTGCCTGCAGATATTGTTCCTTGGTGATTGCCCTTAGCAATATTCTCGACTTGTCTCAAGACTTAATCTTAGAACATGTGATATTGATAATGGCAATTTTTGTCTGGCTTTTAGTTTGTTGGACTTTTGTTTTAGGCAGAAGACGCTGCCAGGATCTGGCCATCACATGCATGAAATATGTATATTTTGTTAATTTATCATGCTCAATTTAGTTTTCTATTTTTTTCGTTAATATTTGGATCATATTGTTTGCACTTTGGTATTATTATGTGGTACGAGAATGCTTTCCCAACCTCATTTCTATATGTTCTTTGGATTTGCAGAACTACGCTTCAATTATTACCGTCCACCGTGAGGTTATTGAAGGAAGACCAGGGACACTCGTTATTGAATCCTTTGTAGTGGATGTGCCTGATGGGAATACCAAGGATGAGACATGCTACTTTGTTGAGGCTCTGATCCGGTGCAACCTCAAGTCTTTGGCTGATGTCTCAGAGAGGATGGCTGTCCAGGACCGAACCGAACCTATCAATCAATAGTGGATTTGGGGGATGGTACAGGAGTACGATGGACTATAGCTATACCAACCATGTGGTTTTTTTGTCTCAGATGCTGTGTAGAGATAGTACGAGCTTTCCTCCCATTCACAGAAGCTTTGGGAACATTGCTGCTTTTAGCATTTCCGACTGATGAACATCCTTCCTACTCTCTTTCCAATTGGTCTCGCATCGTCTCTTCTCACTCTGGTAACGATGATGGGGTTTCTCGTATTTGTGTTTCAAGGACGAGCTTTCTCGGTTTTTATAAGCTCTCCATGAAGGGAAAGGGAAAGCTACTGTGAGTTTTATTGTTCCTGGGTTTCGTGCATGGTGATACCGATGTTAGTACGACTCTGATCTGTAAATATTTGTCTTGGAAAGAGATGGTATCTATGGAATTGGGGTTTTCATCTCGTAGTACAGGGAGGATTCAGGGCGTCGAGCTGCTGTTCCGTTGTTTGTGTGTATATACTTTATGTATTTGCATTCTTAATAAGTTATTGTAATCGCGTTACTTCCGTTTTTTCTTCTTGTTGGATAATATGTCGAAACTTCAATAAAAATGGCCTATTCTTTCTTATGATATCTCTGTAAAAACTTAAGAACATGTACATCTCGGGGGCTTTCCTAGTAACCCAAGTTCTATTAATCTTAACCGGCCGGCGCTTGAAAAACCGGCTTCAGCAATCCTCGCAGAGCTCTGTGCATTGTACGGAGCATTCACCAAAAACTTGACCAATTTGGGCGAAGTTCTCACCCCATCTGCCTTGATCTTCCTCACCAGCAGTCATTGCAGGTACACTCTCCTTCCCTAAAACGGTGAAACCGGACACCATCCTTGAGTAAAATCTCGCGTTTACGTGCTAACGACATGTATTTTGCAGCTGTATGGCAATCGGAACAAACTCGTGTGTTCTTAATCACCCTGATAGGTTCTCCAATTTTCGTATTCATCAGTCCGTAAGTAATGGCCAGTTTCTCTGTGTGACTTAGCAGCACCTTCTTCTTCTCCTCCTCGTCAATATTCTGATGTACACAGCTAACGTCAGGCTCATACCCGAATTTCTTCATCTCATGAACCAGATGATAAAGTTCAAAATATATTTCTCCTGCATCGGTATGAGGTTTCCCTTCGGCAGAGAACATATGAATTGTCTGATCAATTTGTATCCAGCTCCACACAGGCCCATTTTTCACCCCGGCATTCTTCATCAAATCTTTAAGACGCTCTACATCCTCCCATCTATGTGACATTGAATATAAGTTCATCATCAAGACATAATTGGCTGGATTATGAGGTTCCAACTCAAAGAGATTCTTTGCTGCAATCTCTGCAAACCTCAAGTTTTTGTGGATTCGACAAGATGTGAGGAAAGCACCCCATACAGTTGCATCCGGCTTCAATGGCATCGTTTGTATAAAATCCAAAGCTTCGTCAAGATAACTAGCTCTTCCGAGAAGATCTACCATGCAAGAGAAATGCTCAATTGTAGGAGATATGTTATAATCGGTTGTCATACTATCAAACAAGTTCCATCCTTCATCAACTAAGATCGAGTTCTTGCAACCAGAGAGCAGAGCTGTAAAGGTTATAGCATCTGGCTGCACACCTACTCCTCGCATTTCTTCGAAAAGAGAAATAGCCTCTTTCCCAAAGCCATAAATGGCAAACCCCATAATCATGCAGTTCCAAGAAGCTAAGGTCTTGTTCTTAGTCTTCCTAAAAACCTCATGGGCACTTCTGAAATCACCTGCCTTACAGTACATGTCGATAAGTCCTGTGGCTACATATACATCCTCAACAAAACCTTTTCGTATACTGAGACAATGTATCTCTTCACCCTTGTGCAACAATGATAGGCCTGCACATGCTTTAAGTAGGATGGATATGGTGGCAGAGTTTGCCCTGATACCTTCTTTTTGCATTTGGATGAAAAACTTGAGTGAGCCTGCGTAATTCTCATTGTTCGAGCAGCCTGATATAAGAGCAGTCCATGAAACCACATTAGGAGTTAACCCTGAACTTTTAATCCGATGAATCACAGCCAAAGCTTCCTTATGGTGGCCCCTCATTGCATACCCCGAAACCAGACCATTCCATGTAACTAAGTCGGGCTTGATTCCTTCCTGACTCATGTTATGTAATAGTCTTTCAGCATCTTTGAAAATACCCTTGAAGGAATACCCTGAGATCAATGAATTCCAAGCAAAAATGTTCTTGTTCTTCATACTATCAAAAACATTTCGAGCACTGGACAAACAATCATTCTTCACATACATGTCTACCAACGAAGTTCCTACGTAAACATCATACTCATCAAGCCCATTTTTTATCACGAAACCATGAACTTCTTTCCCATGTTTCAAGACACATAACTCAGTAACCGCCTGAAGAACACTAGTGATAGAGCTTGAATTTGGCTTAAAGCCCGCCTTTTGCATTCGCTGCAAAACCACCAGGACAGCTTCATATAAGCCATGGTTAAAATGTCCTGACAAAAGGCAATTCCAAGTCACAATGTCTGGCTTCACATAAGACAATTCCATTTCATGGAAAAGAATCCAAGCATCATTCAAACAACCAAGTGAAGCATAAGAAGAGATAATCGAGTTCCATGTCGATAAGTTACGATCTTTCATTGAATTAAAAACTTTCCTAGCTGATTCTAATCTGTCATTTCTTGAATACATGCTAATAAGTGAATTGCATATTGACAAATCTGAATCCAATGCCCATCTTAAAACATACCCATGAATCTGCTTTCCTGCATTGAGAGCTCTAACTTTTCCACAAGCTTGTAGTTCTTTGACAATTGTAGAACTGTTTGCTTCAGCACGTGAAAACTGCATACTTCTGAACAATTCCAATGCCTTCACCCATCTCCCATTCTTCAAGTTGAGCTTGATGACCTCATTCCACAACATGTCTTCCTTCTCAGGCATTTCATCAAACATTTGGTTGGCACTTTCTATGCCCCAACAACTCCCATAAAAATTGATCAATGCACACTTCAAATACACATCAAATTCAAAACCCCTTTTGATCAAATACCCATGAATTTCCACCCCAAGCCACAACTTCTTCAAACTTGCACAGATTTCCAAAACAACACAAACAAGTTTGCTATCAAACATCACTCCACCTCCATGAAACTCACAAAAAAGCTCAAGAATTTGTGGGTCCCCCCCAAATCTTCTAAGTTCATCCAGGCAAGAACTCCATGAGTGATAGTTTTGTGTAGAACTGGCAAACAAAGCCATTGCAGCAGACCTACAATCACCAAATTCCAGGTAATATGTGACCAAATTATTTCCCTTGGCATCCATGTTACTCTTGTTAGACAATTTCATCATCTGGGCATGCATTGCTTTCACTAAATTCAGACTTTTGACCTGACCCAAGTCATCCAATAAGGTAAAGCCTGGAGCTTTTTGGGTTCTTGGGGGGTTGAAGATTGTCGGGTTTTGGAGGAAAGTTGTGGAGAGATGGTGAAATGGAGATAGTTTGTCCATGGAGGTTTGGTAGTTAATGAGGAAAGCCAAGGTAGTTTGGCTGTGAAGAAATGGCCGTCATGAGAATATTGGGGAGCTTTCATATTTGCAATTGGAAATTGGGAAAGTATTTGGATTTTTGGATTCTTTTGGATAAGGTTGATCCTCTTACGTAATGCTTTTTGAACGGGCCGGTTCAGTCAGAATGATTGCTATTGGATCCGGCCAGAGTTCTAACCTGGTCGAACCCAGTTAAAACACTTTTTGTATGCCATTATAAAAGTGGCAAACAATTTAGTTGGTGGAGTTTTGACACTTTACGTGTGTTAATTGCTATATGTGATGTGAGTCAGAATTGGTGTTGTTATTATGTTGGTTAGAATATCTCCACCCGTTTTAAGAAGGCAAGGACAAGAACTGTGAAATTGCTTTCTATTCATTGAATATGAATTGTTTTTGTGCAAGTTCACTTTAAAAGACGAGGAAAAGCAAGAGCGAATAGTATTTACAATTTGTTTTTTTTTTTTCTTGTATGCCTTGAAAGTGTATACTATGTAAGTTTGTTTTTTGAAAACTAATTTGTTTTTGTTTTAACTCCGATAATTTAATTTTAAATATAAAACAAACATGCCTTACAATTTACAAACAAGTATGATTAATTAAAAAATTAATTAATTTGTTTAGAGATTAATCGGGGCGGTGGTCAATTGCTTAACGCCTAGGCAAGGCCTAAGCTATTGAGAATGAGTCTCGCATTGATGGAATGAATGACCTTACATGGACTTATAAGAGATTGAGTTACTCCCCAAAAAAGCAATTGACAATATGGGAAGTAGTCCAATTTACTCAGAAGTTCATGCAAGGTCCTTTCTCTCATCAATGTGGGATTCATTCTCAACACGCCCTCTCGCGTGTGGTGAATTTTCCAGCTTAACACATAGATAGCACAACGGGTGACGTAGAACACGTGTGACCATTTGGCTTCACACGTGAGATAACTAACTCTGATACCATGAAGAAGTTAAGGTTCCACCATAAAACCAATTGGTTCGGCTTCGGAGCAGCCATCTTGGGCTTAGCAGCAACATCTTTTGGCTTGGCAGTGTGGGCTTTAGGCTTAGCAGCAGGCTTAGGCTTTGTTGGAGCAGTAGCTTTGGGCGTCAGAGCAGTAGCTTTAGGCTTAGTTGCGGGTTTTGCCTTTGATTTCGCCTTAGGCTTGCCCTGAGCTTTGGCAGCTGGCTTTTTCCCTCCTTTAGACCATCTCCAATGGTGACCTAAAACCTAAAAATATTTAGCCCAGAAAATTTAGGTTTTAGCCCAGAAACAGCTTTTCTACTCCAACCCTTCTGGCTTAAAATTTTAGCCCCAGATTATCAAAGAATGAATTAAGGCTATTTTTTTTAAATTAACTTTTAAAAAAAAAAAAATTTATGTAGACTATCCTAAATTAATTTTATGAACATTTTAACCTAAAAATATTTAAATTCCGATAAATTTTGAAAAATCACTAAATCAATACATGAAAATCAAGATAAACCACATAAACTTAATACCAACGACATTTAATAAACCACATAAACTTAAAAAATAAAAAAGACAATTAATAAACCACATAAACTTAAAAAATAAAAAAAAACAATTAATAAACTACATAAACTTAATACAATCGAAAACTCATAGACTACATAAACCTAATAATGATACTCACCATCTTGACTTGGTGATGGACTTGGGTGATAGTCTTGAGATGAATCATCATCTTGAAATATACTCCTTGTGGCATTCCTTCATAAGTATCTCTTCCTCTCTGGAGTGTATTTGTCGAGGTCCTCCATTATCAAATTAGTTTCGTACCCTTCTTGCTCCCTATCCCCTTCTTCCTTCATGGCCAAAAGCATTTGGGCCGATTCTTCTTGCCGACGGCACTGGATTTCGTTCATTATTGCCATTTCGCTAGCAAATTGTGCACGTGTCAGATCTTGGGACTTCCCTTTTCTCTTTGCTTCCTTTTGCTTATCTTTACCCGGGGGCCTTGCAATAGAAGAAGTTGGGGTCATTTGTTCGACACCTTCATTGTCGGCAAAATTCACACCTTCATTGACATCATTTGTGGGTGAGGCTTCATTATGAAATAATCTTCCACATTGTTGGTTCGCATCGGTTCCCCACCTCGGACAATCCTTGAGGATGTTCCAAGCATGATGCAACTTAAAAGCTTGATTTTTTGGTGTAGTTCTTGTCTTGTAAATTGCCATTGCTTTGTCACCCTATGCAACAAATACATAAAAACAATTAGTTGCAAAATACTATTATGTACATGACAACTAAAATATCAACAAATAAACTCACAATTTCTGAGGCGCCCCTTCCACTAGGCATGTCAACCATGGCTCTCTCCAAGCTTCCTTTCCACAAAGTGCACGCTTTGTTGATAATCTTCCACAGATCATAAACACCACCAACTTCCCTTCGACCGGCGTTGGAGTTTTTATGGAACTTATCAACGATTTTACCCCATAAAACCTTTCTATTTTGATTGGTGCTAACGGCACCATCTTCGCTAATCGAAATCCATGCCAAACATAAAGCAATATCTTCGTCAAAGGTCCAATTACAACCTCTAACATGCTCTTTTGCCATCTTGAAAATTCTGGAAATGAGAATAAATGGTATAAAGAAAAATTGGAAGAATTGTAGGAGAAAAGTGAGTTTTGTATGGATGTTTGAACAAATACATATGTATTTATAGAGTTTTTGGTTGAATTTTAAGTTAAATAATTTTTTAAAATTATTCTAGTCGTTGGATTTAAATTGGACCGTTAGATCTTTTTTTTACCGTTATATTTAATTATATTTGATATAAGCCGTTGGATTCAATAAATACATAAATATAAAACTAAAAAAAAAAAAATTTGAACTTGGACCGTTGGATTAACCAACGGCCCATTTAAAGTCACCATTGGATTACAAAAAGTAGCCGTTAGGCTGTTTTTTGCTTTGAAACCTGAGGGAACAGCCCCACGTGGGGTTGTTGTTTGGCTGAAAGTGATCGCGCGTGCAGCGCGTGGACGAGTCCGAAAGTGGGAACTGGGCTTCACAGCCCCAGTTTCAATCTCAGTTCGTGGGCCCATTTTGGTTTGTAGCTTAAAACTAGGTTGGTATTTGACCCTCAAATGAGTTTTAGGTTTTAGGTTAATTTTGGGTCATGGGTTGGAGTGGATTTTGGGGGGAAAAAAAAAGGAAAATTTTAGGTTATAAGTCATCATTGGAGATAGTCTTAGGCTTCGCACAACAACTTTTGCCTTCAGTTTAGCAGCAGCCATCAGCTTCTTCTTCACCGGAGAAGCAAGCTTTGGCGCCGAGGACCTCACATGCAAGAGCTTGAAGGAGTTTTTGACCTTGACGATCTTATTAGAACTCACAAGCTTCTTCAAATGGAAAAGCAAAAGCTTCTTGAAGTTGGGCAGCATCTGCTTGTGTTTCTCCCCAATGAACTTAGTGATCGCGTACAGGCTCGAACCAATCATTTCCTTCAATGTCACAATCGCGTCCTTAACTATCACTTCGTATGGAGGATGAACCGGAGCACTTCTAGGCTTCCTCGGAGCGGGTGCCTTTTTCGCCTTAGGCTTCTTGGCCTTGCCGGCCTTTGCTGCCGGTTTGTCATCCGCGGTATCGGTGGTAACCGGCTCAGGAGGAGGATTCTCAACCACCTCGGTCACGACGACCACAGAGGCTTCTTTGGTCGCCATAGGATAATTTGAATTTTAGGGTTAGGGTATGGAAATAAAGGGGTAATAGAGGATTGAACTTTGAAAGAGGGGAGAGAGATCTGGATCGACCAGCATGTACGTGTGTGAAGCCCAACTTTTTTCATGTAATCAAAGCATGTTGGTCCACGTGTAAAGCCCAATAGCCACACGTGTTCCACGTCATCCAATTTGTGTTGTTCACGTGTTTGGCTTGAAAATTCACCATACATGAGACGACGTGTGAGAATGTGACGATAAAAGAGTCTCACATTGGTGAAGGGAGAAACCTTACAAGGGACTTATAAGAGGTTAGACTACTCCCTATATTGACAATTGGTTTTATAGAGGAACCTCAACTACTTCAGCCAATTGGTTTTATGGTGGAACCCAACTTTCTTCATAGGCGGCGCTAGGCAGTGCCAGGCAGTGGATTTTAGAATAGTGCCTCACAGTTTATCGTGAATTTCTATGCGCACATTGTAAAACATTGTGCTAAAAATAAGTGGTGGCAAAGAGTTCATAAAGAATCTCACTTTGAATCTCCTTAACATTTCTCTTGTGCTACATCTCACCCCTAAGGTTCACTTCAAAGTTCAGACCAGCTTAATATATAGTTAATTAATTGATTAATAAGAGCAAGAACTATTAGTGGAGGCTTTCACAAGAATAAAATTAATGACCAATTGTATCTGTCCACCTCATTCTCTTGTTGAATTCGAATATTCGTACCATCTCTTTAGATTATTGGTAATTTTTTTGGTGTTTCCCTACCTGCTTAAATCGATTACCTCACCAGATCCATCTATTCACTTCAAGACAAGTGACGAGTATAAAGTATAATCTACTTAAATGACTTATGTTTTTGTTTCATTTGGAAGCCACTCGTCAAGGATGAAACCCTTAACCCATTCCTTTTTCACCTGTGCATTCTACATATTTAGTTGCACCTCGTAGCGGGCACATGCACAGAAATTTACATCTCAATATGACGTAGGACTGGAAGAGCAGTTCAGATAGGCGACTTTCAGCGTGAATAGTGATTTTCGTATGAATATTGTTTTCTGCGGTGAATAGTGTTGTTGAAGTTTATACCAGTCTCAAGATACATTTCCGAAAAAAGAACAACGTGATGAAATGCATCAAACTCGTCCCTATTCCAGATGGATATAAGGAGTTTAATGATGCCCGTTCACAATCTCTGTGTTGCAGGAATATTATTATGGGCGACGATCAAATGACCCCTTTGCAAAATGTAAATTTCTATAATAACCTAAATCAATTAGTGAAACTAATTAATTTGATTAGTTTCCATTTTAGTTTTATTAGTAAAGTAGTATTGTTGCTAATTAGCAATATGAAGAGTAACTCAACTTACTTATAAGCTTATACAATGTCTCTTCTCTCATCAATGTGGGTGCCTCGTCACGTGTGAGGAATTTTCAAGCCAAATATATATTTTCGAGCCAGATACGAGGACGACACAACTGGACTGACGTGGAGTACGTGTGATCATTGGACTTCATACATTGGATAACTTGTTATGATACCATGAAGTTGAGGTTTTACATAAAAACAATTGGCAATGTAAAGAATAACTCAATTTACTTATAAGCTCATGCAAAATTTCTCGCCATCGTATAAGATTCATCTCAACAATATCATCATCGAGTCACCGACTATGGAGCGTCCATTAATTAATTGCTGAGGGTAACAAATTAACATGGACCCCAATATCTTTTTTTTTTTTTTAGTACAGCATGAACCCCAATACTAATCATGAAGCCTAGTGAGATACAGATCCTGTGTGCGAGGATGGGCATCGGACGATGATGACCTACAGCTTCGATAAGCTATGGCTCAAAATTACACCTCTCTCCTTTTGACGTCAAAATTACACATCCTCAAAACACTTGATTTCAAGCCCTTCAAAATAATTAACTTCCTCCAATTGGTGTACAGAAATGTACTGCTAAATAGAGACGAAATAGGTTGGAGAATTACAGTTGAAAAAATCAAAATTGGAATGAAAGTTCAAGGACTAGAAAACAACTAAAACGAAAATTGAGCCACTTTTAAATCAGAGGTTCTCCCTATCATATATATCCTAACGATATTTTGTACCAAATTGTGCGCCATCGTTTGTACTATTGTACACTAACGTGCTGGTTTCTCTCAAATTGTTCAAAAACAACAATTATATAAATTGGAGCATTTTGTTTGATCAACGACTGTCTTATAGCTTTACAAAATTAAACATGATTTGAATACAATGTTTCTTTGAAAACTGCATTTACTCACCAATAATACAAGAACAAACATAGATTAAAGGGCCTTTTCGTGCCATGTAACTTTCTCCTCTTTACTTTTAATTTCACCAATTTAGTACTATTACCTTCCAAAATTCGCTCACTTAGGTGCAGTCATACGTTGCCTAATTGGTAACTTTTCTAACAGTATTAGTTACTTCAGCATGCATGTCGTCAATGCTGAAAATATAGTGCAGATGTTCTAAAGAGTTTATGCAACAAAGAACATCTGGTATGAACCATAAGGTCCTATACATCTCAAGTTTTCTTTTATATTTTTTTACTATTTTTCCATTTTATGCAACAAAGAACATCTGGTATGAACCATAAGGTCCTATACATCTCAAGTTTTCTTTTATATTTTTTTACTATTTTTCCATCTATCTTAAGGAAACATGCTTACAGCTTAAGAAATTTTGGTAAAAGATAAAAGACCAATGGGCAGCGACCGAAGAAGTATAATTATTGGAGAGTGGGAATTGAGAAGCTCTTACATGAAAGCAGGAACTCCTGTTCACTCTCCCTAGAGACTTCGACCGTTTGACAAATTATTGTCAAGTGCATGCAAGATCTCGTGACGGAGTGTCCACAGTCGGATCAAGCAACAACGGACCATATGTGGAAGCAAGGCACGTCTTGTTCCATACCCGACAATGGCCTCCGACTATCTCTCAGTATCATGGTAGAGACGTTGAGATGGCAAAAGCCGGAAGCCCTTGAAGGGGAGGGAACAACCAGTGCCTTGAAGCTTAATGTATAAAGTGCCCTGCAAATACTTCTTGTCTTTATGAATTTTGAGCTACGGCATGCATATTTATAGGTTGTAGTATTGTAGATGTGTAATATTGTATGTGCCGATTATATATAATTTTTCTTGAACAGAACGCCTGGAGGACACATATCCTACATGTTATGGGAAACATATTAAATATAATCGGCACATACAATAATTCTTCATGCGATAGAAAAGAGATGAAGTTGTACATAGACTATGGAGCAATGTGGGATTGGGACATGCGCTGACTTGAAATGTGTGGCAGAACAAGAGATTCTCAGTGATTCCCATGAAGGGTTGGACTTTTGCTGCACTTGATATGAGTGGCATAACAAGAGATCCTCAGGGATTCCCACGAAGGTCTCCGAAAAAGTGGCTCTTAAGAGCCAATGCAAATGATCAATCACCATAAGCTGAGAACTGAAGAATAATAAAGCAGTGGCTTTCTGCATTATTAGGTCGCGATCTCCTACCATAAAAAAAAATATATTTATTATTCCTCATCCTCCCCATACATATTCAACACTAAATCAACAAACGAATATAAAAGTTAGAAGTTTCTTCGTCCAATATTTTGAAGTTGTAAGTTTCTTCATCCAATCACAAAGGTTTGAAAACATGATTCTTAGATCTTCACCCAAAAGATTATTATTAGATTCCCTTATCACATATCATCTCATAGCCAGCTTCCAAATCCTCTTGAATCCTTTGCTGTTACACACCTCTTCGTCAATGCCAAATGACATGTTTAGAAGCTTGCACTTTGTGCCGCATCGCACCCCTAAGCTTCACTTGAAAGTTCAGACCGGCTAACTATAGTTAATGAATTGATTAACAAGAGCAAGAACTATTAGTGGAGGATTACATAAGAATAAAAGGACCACTTGTATCTGTCCACCTCATTATCTCTTTGTTTCATTCGGATTGTATTATCTGCTTAGATTATTATTATTTTTGCTCGTGTTTCCCTACCTGCTTGGATCGATTACTTCACCATCCATCTATTCACCTCAAAACAAGTGAAGAGGATAAATATAATATCTACTTGGACTAATTATTATTTTGTTATGTTCGGATTGTACTTCACCAGGAAACCCTACCCTTTTTTTGGTCGAGAACATGAAACCCTACCTACAAAGGCAGATCTACATAGGGACCTGGAAGGTCCTAGGACCCGTCAGCGATCTTAAATCCCTGCTATAAATTTTTCGGGGACTCCTCGTACTCGAGCATGAGGTCTGTGCAGGTTGTAGGTTGCAAGTTGCAGTGGCTGTCTTCTTCTTGGAGAAGATGACCGCGCGTGAAGAAGAAAGAAAATAGGAACCCTTCCTGCTTGTCTCCTCCTTGCTTCTGCCATGGTCTCATCTGTCGATGCCACCCACTTCTCCTCCAACCTTTCTCTGTCGTTTGGCGGGGGCAGTACATAAGCCCAAATTTCCCCAAATTATTTCAACCATCTTAGTAATTTTTCTTATGGGTGAAATTTCCTTTATAATGTTAGTAAGATGAATATGATCTGTAATGGATTGGTGAAATTTGGGTGGTGAAGCTGCCATGGCTTCAGGAAAATGGGGAGGGAGGCGGTTGGTGGAGGTATGACAGTTTTGTTCTTAGTGAGAGAGAAGGTGAATGTTTGGAAACTAGTAACAGAGAAAAATGGTGTGTTTGGTTAGAAAGATAGTGGGAGTTTGGGGCGAGTTGTAATTGACCGGTGTTTTAAATTTAGTGGTTCATATTAGATAATCAATAACTCAGGTACTCCCTAGTAACTTATGAAACCTCGTAATGGTCGCTGGAATTATGATTTTATAATTTGTAATATTGCTTTGCATATGATTTTTGAATGAAATGTATTATATTTAAATTTTCAGTATTATTTTTGTCTATAAATTTTTTGACCTTTATAATTGGGACCCCCGAGTTTAAAATCCTGGATCCGCCACTGCCTACCTACTATCCTCCATCTATGCATTTG